TGCGTCCCCCTCCCTCCCTCCCTCCCATTTGCTCCCTCCCTCCCTCCTCCCAACTCTTTCTCGCTCCCCCCCTCTCTGCTGCTCACCGAGGTCCGTGGATCGGCCGCATTCTCTGAACTACCGTGTTCATTTCCCTTGTCGTCATCGCATCGCCATTCGACCAGCTGTCAACGTAGAAGTTTCCGACCAGTTGTATCTGCAAGCACGATCAACCACATGAGCAGCATGCCGCTATGTCATCACCTGCATCCAGCTGAACAAGTCCGGGATTGTCGCTGAGTGACAAGTCAAGGTCAGACTTTCGTCCTCTGCAGCATCCTCGACGTACCGATGTCCAGGAAGCCTTTGAGCTCGTATGTGGGGGTCGAACAGGTTTCCTGCACGCACCCTGTGACGTTGGGGTTGTACTTCATGTCGGGCCAATCGAGTCCGCTCGATGTGGTGTCGGAGAATTGTGAAGAAGCGACTGCGAGGAAGGAGGAAAGCGTGAGAACGGAGGGGAAGAGAAGAGAAGAGAAGAAAGAAGAACACGAGGTGAAGGAGGAGAGGGGAAAAGAAGAGGAGGAGAGAAGGAAGGAACGTGAGGTGGAAGTCAAAGAAGCAAGGTCTCGTACAGTAATTGATCAGGGCTTCAGTGGCTTTCTCGCTCCTGTACCCATTCTTCTGCAGGACGACTGTGGCAGTGTAGATGGCGAAGAACAACAGAAGATGGAGACCGAAGTTCGCTCGCCTCCTCCGATCCACTTTCACTCTCGACTGAAACCATCAGGCGTTACTGAGGGTGTGGGAGCGGACAGCACGTCATGCTTTCACCTCCTGGAGGAGCAGGTTGATGCTGAAAGTCTGGTACCTCATGAAGTTGTTGGGGTTCACTTTAGGCAAGTTCTCGATGGCTTTCACCACAGTCTCCAGCTCCTCCATCTTCTTGATCAACCAGAACGCCTTCCCCATCTCCAGACCTTTCTTCGCCGCCGTCTCCTCCGGGAAGGAAGTCGCCGACTGACCGCTGATGGAAGCTCTCTTCGCCCCGGGCCCTCCTTCACTCTGGAGGTCTGACACGAGGCTTCTGACCTTGTCGTTCCTCTTTGTCTTCTCGATCGCTGCTCGCGCCAGCACCGCCGCCCTCTCCCGCGAGCCATGCTTCGACGCCATACCGACGGCTCCTCGCCCTGACTAGCAGTGACAAGCAAAAAACAATGTGATAGGCTGTAAAAGTAAAAAAGAAACTTCACCCCGGGGCCGGGCCTTACCGTAGTCCCCGCCGGGCCCGTCACTGAGACGGTCCGAGTCTCCGGGAGGCGCAAATTCCTTGTTGCGGTTCAAGTAATTTACCCACGGGGCGTATTTTTGTCAAATATTTCAAATAGTTATATCAATATTTTAGTTACAATTACAAACCTTTACTAAAATTTGAAAAAGCTTTTGAAAATTGATGTAATGACGGAAATTAAAGGGGGACCAAAACAAGTTTGTCGGGGAGTTTTGGTTGGACTTGTGAGGTTGCCGGGAGGGTAGAGCAGGAGAGGAGAGAGAGAGAGAGAGAGAAGAGGAGAGACAAGAGGACAGACAGACAGACAGACAGACAGAGACAGACAGACAGAGGAGGCAGAGGACAGGAAAGACTCAGACGAGATCAGATTTCCATCAGGAGATTTCTACAAGTCAACCACCATCAATCCGACGACATCGAGATACCTGGAAGATACTCTGAATTCATTCGTGTGTGATCAAGTACCGCCATGCCAGAGAAACTTGATTTTCAGTTCCATCATGTGCAGTTGTTCGTCAACAGGCTGAAACCTCTCACTGAGTATAAGAAACTCGAACGGAGGTTGAACATGCTCGCTAATCGCGGCCATTTCGATCCCTTCTCTGGAGGGATGCGGTACCTCGAGCCCAAGGCTCAGATGGACAGGGTATTGGCGGGAAGACAGGTATGGCAGGAGATTATTGCCGCAGAGGAGGAGGGGGGGGAAGAGGGTCAAGATTCAGACATCGTAGAGCAGCTCATCATTGGACTCGGTTGGCGCGTCACAGCAGAGTATCGAGGTGGAGGAACTCGATGCCTCCTCGTTACTTCAGCTGATGCCTGCGGCGTCAAGCTCTGCGTGACAGCCCTGGAGGAGGAGGAGAAGGAAGAGGCTTCCGCTGCTCCCAGCCTCTTCCCGCACTTCGACCAAGAGCTAGTGAGGACCATGTTCGATGCTCACGGGGGGAGGCAAGTCATCGGGGTGCTGGGGTTTGAGGTGATGGAAGGGATCGAGGAGATCGTGAGGAGGTACCAGCAGAAGCATCCGAAGCTCATGATCGACCAGCAGCCGCACACGTGGCGAGACGTGCGAACGGTCTGCATCGGAGGGAAGGAGGTGGTGAAGGAGCTGGGGAGCATGAGGATCTTTGATGTGTACGCCTACTACAAGTCGGAGGAGGAGGCTGATCTAGGAACGAGGCTGCGCTTTGTGGAGAGGAGAGGCAACTACGCGCGGGCCGAAGGATTCTCCAACCCCCTCGGAGTCCTGCCCGGGCTGGAGGACGTGAACGCAAAGTTTGACGGGACCTCGATCCCCTCCTACTCTGATCACTGGGTAAGCAACGTGAGAGACAGGAAGAAGTTTCTGCAAGTGCTGCAGGAGACTCTTGGGTTTGTTCCCAAGGTCGAGTTCAACGCAGGTGTGGTGGCGGCAGGAGAGGCCATGATCGAGTCCACTGTCGTCGGGAACACCAGTGCCCACCTCTCATATAAGGAGGAAGAAGTCCTGCGGGATCAGTCGCAGGTGCAGAGGGGAGGGAGAGGAGAGGAGAGAGGAGAGGAGGAAGAGGAGAGAGGAGAGGAGAGAGGAGAGGAGAGGAGAGAGGAGAGAGGAGAGGAGAGAGGAGAGAGGAGAGGAGAGAGAGAGAGGAGAGAGGAGAGAGGAGAGAGGAGAGAGGAGAGGAGAGGAGAGGAGAGTGGAGAGAGGAGAGGAGAGATGGAGGAGTTGGTTCCTGCACTGACTGTTCTCAAGGTCTACCTGCCGATCAACAACGCTCTGAGCGATGCTGGACACGTTCACTGGTTCTTGGAGGAACATGGGCAGGGGTGCAGCATCTTGCCAGCCGTGTGGAGGACCTTGTGTCTTTTGTGGAGCGAGTGAA